GGCCATGTGTGCTGCCAGATGGTGTGTGCTGCCATGTGTGCGGCCAGATGGTGTTTCTTGGTGTTCTTGGTACCTTGTATGAAGATCTTCAAGGAGAATGGATGATACTTGAGAGGATTTTCAAGTTCTATGCTTGAAGAAGTGAAAGAAGTGTTCAAAAATGACTAAGTGTGGTACATATAGGTGGAGTGTGCGGTTGGGAAGGGTGTGAGGCCGCAAACACATGTGTGTGGCCGCACACTTCATGTGTTGGAGTGTTTGACCTCTTTTTGATTCCTACACTTTGAGTTAACCCATTTCCACACTCCAACCTTGATTATAACACGTTTAGAACTCTCCAATAGACCCTAAATGATACTACAAAATAGCAAAACGAGTCTATTATTGATAAGAAATGAAGAATGCAAGCTAGAAATCTTCGGGTTGTCACAGAGAGCTTAGATCTAGAGTTTGGGGCTTTGGATCCCACTACAAGGGCTGAACATGATAGAGACTGAAGGAACTCGTCGAGTTCCTTAGTTGACTCAACGAGTCGAGTAGGGTTTACCTGTTTTTTGTCTTCCGAGTGATTTTGGTGAAGGATTTGTGTTTCGGTGTTCATAAGTTTTTGGTTTCTGCATATAGAGGGACGTGGCGAGTTACACAAATAACTTGATGAGTGGATGAATCACTTAGAAAACTCAATGAGTTTCTGGATGCACTCGACGAGTTGAGGTCAACATGGACTGTTGACCAAGGTTGACTTTAAGGGTGTCTATGGGATTTTGATGAATTAATCACATAATGGTTATAGGCGGTTGAGTTGGAGTAGCACGTGAGGGTTTAGCTAATCTTAGCTTGTTAGTTCTACATTCACGAGAGGTGAGTCTTCTCACCATACCAATGGGTCTAAGGCTCCAAGGCCGGCCCATTTTATGATAGATGGTATACTTGTTGTGTAGAGATATGTGGTATACTTGTTGTAGAGATATGTGGTATGATAGTTAGATATGTTTGGTGATATGCTAGCTATATATGTGATAGTTGCAGGGAAAGAACATGGGGGGAGCCCATGACACTTGGATGTACAACCATGTGGGGGAGCCCATGGCTTTTCAAGTAAAGACCATGGGAGGAGCATATGACACTTGTTAGTAAGACCATGTGAGGGAGCCCATGGCTTTCCAGCTAAAGACCATGGGGGAGCCCATGTTACTTAGGTGTAAGACCATGTGAGGGAGCCCATGATATCCTGGAGTAAGACCTTTTGAGGAGCCCAAGACATCCTTATATGTTTGTATGCATGGCTTATATGGTAGAGATAACTTTTATAGCTAATATGATATGTTTTATGTGGATTGTGTGTGGGGTATGCTCTGGGGAACTCACTAAGCATTAGCTTACAGTTTGTGGATTTGTTTCAGGTACATCTGAGCCCAAGGGCAAGGGAAATGTTTGATGGCGCGGCGTGCACTCACAGGTGTTTTATGGGACACTCTGATGATTTGAAATAAAATTGTAATGATTATGAATTTTGAAACAATTGTATTTGGAAACCTTATGTTTTGTGGGAGTATTTTGGTTAATTAAAATTGAAAAACTTCTTTTGAAAATTTGGGTTGTTACACACACACACACACACACACACACACATATATATATATATATATATATATATATATATATATATATAGATGAAAAACCGAATTGTTTTAACAAATTTAGGATTATATGTCGACATACATACATATATTATATATATATATATATATATATATATATATATATATATATATATATATATATATATATATATGAAAAACCGAATTGTTTTAACAAATTTAGGATTATATGTCGATATATATATATATATATATATATATATATATATATATATATATATATATATATATATATATATATATATATATATATATATATATATATATCGTTTTTAACAAATTTAGGATTTTATGATATCCCCACAATTTATCATAGAAAAGTAGTTTTAAAGGGGAATGTTGAAATTGAGAAGTTTAGGTTAAATTTGATTGAAACGAAGAGATATTAAAAGGGAATATGATTTATTAAGATAATTAAAATTTTGGTTTGTTCATATCTGAGTAACTATTTTTTGGTACATATATAGGTAATAAACTTGTTGGAAGTGTTCACATATGACCATTATGACCTGTTGTAGCAGGTTACATCTGGCTATAACTGGTCATAATGTTCATATGTGAACACTTTCAACAAGCTCGTTACTTAGATATATAAAAAAAATAGTTACCTAAATATGAGCAAAACAAAAAGTAAGTAAATTGCACGAATGGTCCCTATGGTTTGGGGGAATTTGTACGTTTGGTCCCTAACTTATTTATTATTACACGGATGGTCCCTACTGTTTATTTTTGTTGTACGTTTGATCCATGATTTACCTAAAAAGAGTATTGCGCCCTTATTAATTTATTTTTTAATTAGTTTTTTATTTATGTATTTATTTTTTATATATTAAAAAAATCAATAAACCCCACATATTTGTATCTTTTCAACGTAAACCTGAAACCACATTTGAGAAATTTATTTTGGGTCCTACCGGTTACCATCCTATCTCTTATCATCATTAACTTATATTTTATTTCCATTTTTAGTGACATCGACTTTTTCACCATTTTTTTCTGATCATTCAACTCTAGCAAACCAACACCATAACCTGCTGTCTTTTCATCATTAGTGGGTTGTGGTGTTCATTCACAGAAGTTGAGGACTGAAAAAGAGGAGATGGTGAAGACGTCGATGTCAATAAAGATGGAAAAGAAATAGAAGTTCAGGAGGATGAAAGATGAGATGGTAAGAATATATAGATATGTGAGGTTTATTATTATTATTTTTAAATATTTAAAAAATAAATACTTAAATAAGAAAATTAATTAAAAAAATAAATTAATATGGACATAATAGTCTTGTTAGGTAAGATAGAGACCAAACGCGCAAAAAAATAAAATAAAATAAACAATAGGGATCATCTGAGTTAAGAAAAAATAAATTAAGGAGCAAACACATAAATTCTTCCAAACCACAGGGACCATTCGTGTAATATATATTCTTACATTTTGTTTAGTTGATATTTGAGTAACTTTTTTTTATATACATTTAGGTAACAAATTTTTTGAAAGTGTTCACATTATGATGTGCTGTAATCGGATGTAACCTACTACAACAAGTTATATTTGTCATGAACACTTTCAATAATTTTGTTACCTGTAAAAAAATAATTAGTTAGGTATTACCTTACCAATGTTCCAATTTAAAACAATCGGGACTGTGAGAGCAAAACAAATAAAGTATCTGGGGCCCAATGTAAAAACAGAGTTAAAGCCAAAAGAACAAAACCTGGCAATTTACACCTGCACCCCCTTTGCTTCTTAAACACGTCAAAACAGACCTACAAAATCTCTGCTACTTTTACTGTTGCCATATCCTTTTAGCTTTTGCTACATGATTCATTCATGATTTGACTTATACATTCATTGTGTCTTTTAATTCTACGTGAAAGATGAAAGGAACATTGTCCTTTTTCAAAAATTAACAAAAAGATAAATCAATTTCTTCACCTTAATATATTGATTTTGAGTTTAAACCTAGGGTATTATTTAAGGAGATCTCAATAAATTTTTTAAATTTAGACCGTATTAAGGGAAAAATAAGTATTGATTTTTTAACGATTATATAATCGTAAATGTTTGCTAAATGCTCATTTTAGCCGATCAACGCTTATGCTTACCGTTTTTTCAGGCTAAATTCTAAATAAATAATAAATGATAACTTTTTCGTTAATATGATCAAAGTTTAAAGAATTTTCCAAAGATGTCCTTATATTTCTATTAAACCATTGCAAGTAATTACGGTTTATTACACTAACTTTTTATCTTTAAAAAATCCATAATTAAAATTTTGTTTTGTTTATCTTGTTAACCAAACCTTTTAAATTGAATCTTATTTGGATTGATTAATGGTTGGTTTAAAATTATATAAAAATTTTATTAAACCTAATTATATAAATCAAACTTTGATTGGAGACTGGACGAGAGAAAACATAAGGTAGTTGAAAGAAACTAATTTCACGAAACTATTTTAAAACATAAATACTTCTCCTAAAAATGTTCAAGGGAATTGTGCAGTTCAAAGATAAAAAGATGACATGGCTCTAATCGAATTCCACAACTTCCGAATAACGTCCAGAAAAATGCGTACAACTTTCACTAGGTTCAATCCAATCGTGACCCGTATCTACAAGTTTAGAATTGTCAAAAATAACATTGAAACCGACCTAAACTTTTTAGATGGTTTAAATGAAAGTTAGTTAAAGGTTAATATGATTATAAAAGGTAACATGAACTTAAAGAATATGTATGTTTATGATCTCTACAAAGAGTTGCAAGCCCAATAATCCATTATTATGCAACAAGATTAAAAGTGTGGTAGATCCATTGCTCTAGTCTCCTCAGCATCAAGTATTAATGTTCCAAAATATTTCGGAAGGCATTTAGTTTCCACCACTTACGAAACTCAAAAGCAGTAGTGTAAGCATGATTCGGCTCACGTAAGTACCTCTTTAACTTTGTTTCCAATAAAACGACAAAAATGCAAAAATGGTTATGTGGTTTGCTATTTTTTTTTTGTAGATATCGTCTAAACCTTTTAAAAATTAGATTTCTGGTCCTTATTGAGACGTTTGTTTGTGGAACAAGTCCCTGGGTTAACTTCTGTTTGTTTGTGGCTGTTAAACCCCTCACGTGCATTGCACACGAGGGCATAAATGTCTTTTTACTTGAGGGATCATTTTTACAATTCCTGAAATAAACCCACTTGTTACCATCTTAGCGCCATATTACACACAAAATCACAAAATATTTAGTTATTTCTTACACTTCCATCTTCTTCGTCATTCATTTTGAACGCAAACACCCTAATCAAGATTTGGTCCAAGGTATTTACTTGTTTTTGCTTTTCAACTGTAAATGGTGTTCGTAATGTGGGCGATTAGGCCAAAAGGCGAGACGTATGAAATCGCAAATGAATATGGTTAGTTTCACTTATCCTCTGTTTGCGAAATTTTGTTGGGTTTCTTGATGATCTGATAAAAACAGAGCCAAAAATACAAACATATGATAATTTCTTACTTAATGTTTTTTGTATCTTGTAGAGCGCGTACCAACAATGTTCACCATAAAGCTACACCATGGTGGAAATTTTACCAAGCTTCCAAACACGAAATATGTTAAAGGTGAAGTGCGATATATTGATTTAGTAGACATTGATGAGTTCTCAGTTCATGAACTAGACGCAATGATGCTAGAGCTAGGTTACTCTATACCCCCAGTAATATATTACCATTTTAGGATTCCTCATGAAGACTTGGATTTTGGTCTTAGAGCTTTAGGGAATGATAATGATGTCTTGAATTTGGCTCAATATATTGGAGATAACAAGGTCATTGAAGTGTATACAGAACATGGACAAACTAATTTGCTGACCTATTTTATGTCTCCAAAAGGAAAGTAAAAAGTTATTATTAAGGAGCTCTGTGATGGCGATCTTCCAAAAAAAGCAAATGTACCTCAAGTACCAGCAAAGGATAAAACCCCAATAATAGATGAAGCTAATGCTCAAACACAGTTGGCAGGGTATATGTCCTTGATACTCTTTGACAGAGTCCCTACACAAGTTTCACTAGAGTATAGAAGAAATGGAAGGGTGAACTCAATAGTTGATCAAAGTTCTTGTGCCAAGAAGCTTTGTTTAGTTGAATTGGATGATGTAATAGAAGATCAAGGTGGTGATCATGCTAAATTGGATGATGTTGTACAAGATCAAGGTGGTGAGAATCCTAAATTAAATGATGTGGTACAAGATCAAGCTGGTGAGCATGCTAACATGGATGATGTGGTACAAGATCAAGATGCTGAGCATGCTAACATGGATGATGTGTTACAAGATCAAGGTGGTGACCATGATAACTTTGATTATGATGACTTTCATTATGAGAACTTTTCTCATGATCACTTTGATCCTTTTGATGGAGAATATTATCAACCACCAGAAGATGAGAATGTTGAAGACCATCAGTTTGAACATGAAAAGTCTGCTGATAGTGATGATCTCGGGCAACAATCAGAAGAACAGTATGATGAACTTGTTGATGATGAAAACAATGTATCAGAATTGGAGGTGGATATGACTGACTTTAACCTCAATCTTGATAAGGATGATGGTTCTGTTTAAATGGATGGGTTTCATAACGGGGTTGGGACAAATGATGAACATGAGGACATAGAAGTCATTGACAATGATAAATGGGATTCTTTAGATGAAGGGTCAGAAGATGAAAGGAAAAGAGTATGTGTTCTTAAGAATTTAGCTAAGGAGAAAAGATGCAGTATTGGCAATGTCCATAAGGCCAGTTTTTATGTTGGGAAAAGTTTAATTCAAAGAAAGATTTGAAAGAAAAAATTGACATGCACGCATTAGAAACTAGGAAGAATTTATATTATAAAAAGAATGACAAGCTTAGACTTCGGTCATTGTGTAGAGGTGTAGTCCCTGTCATGGATGCAAGTAGGGTGGTAGGCTTTAATACCAAAAATAAAAGCAAGGGCAAAGACGTAAATTCAGAAAAAGTAAACTATAGTTGGTTCCTTCATGCTTCTAGGTCAAACACAAAATCTCCCTGGTTTGTAAGGACATTAAATGACAACCATACTTGCCTTCAAAGTAGGAAGATTAGAGCTTGCACTGCTACTTTTATATCCAAGCAAATCGTGGACCAAATCGACACAAATCCAGGGATTCCTCTTCGAGCATTGTAGGAACAACTTCAAAAGGACTTCGAGGTTGGTGTTTCTATTGACAAAGTATTCAGGGCCAAGGCTATTGCAACTAAGATCGTGGAGCGTGACTATACGAAACGATATGAGATCTTGAGGGACTATGTTCTTGAATTGCAAGCAACCAATGTTGACACAACTGTCAAGATTGATGTTTACAGTGAACAAAACCCATCAAACCCAACAAGGAGGTTTAAAAGAATCTACGTTTGCTTAGGTCCCCTGAAAAAAGGTTTTAAGGTTGGCCTCAGGGATCTTTTGGGTTTCGATGGTGCGCATATGAAAGGACCATTTCCTGGGCAGGTTCTAACAGCAGTTGGGTTGGACTCTAACAATGGTATTTACCCCCTTTCTTATGCCATTGTTGAGACAGAGAACACAAGTAGTTGGATATGGTTCTTGTAGTGTTTAGGAGAAGACTTGGATCTTGGTTCAAACTCAAACTTTACTTTTATCACAGATCGGCAAAAGGTATCTCTTTCTAACTTGTATTATTAATTACTTATTATTATATAAACAAAATACTTAATTTTTGTTATTGTTTTAGGGTTTAATACCAACTATAACCCAATTATTCCCATGTGTTGAGCACAGGTATTGTCTCAGGCACATACATCAGAAAATGAGAGTGAAATGGAAATTGAAAGAGTACAAGGATCATTTATGGAGATGTGCAACTGCAACCACTGTACCTGAATTTGAACATTTCATGAGAGAATTTAGCAACTATGACAAGGAGGCATGTGAATGGCTTAGAAAGATTCCTCCAAAACACTGGGCAAGAAGCCATTTTACAGGTACATAACTTACCATAAATTACTATATGTTAAATGTGCACTTGTACTTAAAACAATATGTTAATTTTTTTAACAAGCAAAGCAATCTCTGATATACTGTTAAACAACCTTTGTGAGGTATTTTACAACAAGATAATAGAGGGAAGAGATAAGCCTATCATAAGTTGTTTGGAGTATATTAGACGATAATTGATGAAGAGAATCTGTAATGTTATGAAGGTGATGGACAAGGAAAAAGGGCCTTTAACACCCACTGCAACAACCATATTGGATGTAAACAAGTCTCATGCATCACATTATATTTCTAGGTGGAATGGGGGTGAGAAATACCAAGTCAAAGGGGCATGGCAAGATCAACATGTTGTAGATGTTAGGAATAACACATGTACTTGTAGGAAGTGGGAGCTAATAGGCATCCCCTGTAAACATGCCATTGCAACCCTTTATGAAATGACCAAGAACTCATAGGATGTTGGTGACATTTATAGGTGGGTCAATAAGGTATACTGGTTGGATACATGGAAGAATGCACATTCCTATAAGGTAGAGCCCATAAAAGGAAGAATAATGTGTCCTAAAACTTTGTGTCGCACCACACTTATCCCTCCAATACATCATAAGCAACCAGGTAGGCCTACAAAGAAGAGGAAGAAAAGTGAGGATGAAAAATTGAGTCAGAGTCAAAGAGGGAGTCAAAGTCGGAGTGGTACTCATGGTGTAATTCAGGAAGAAGGCTGTAAAGTTGGTCCTGATGGAGTTCAAAAATTAACAAGGAAATATGTCAGTGTAACATGTGCAAAATGCAAAAACAAAGGTCACAACTCAAGGACATGCAAAGGTCAAGGAGGTGGAAGTTAGGTGGAAGTTGAAGATCAAGGTTGTGTTTGTTTTGGTAGATGTTATTTGCTACTTGTGGAAGTGTTTTGATGTTAAAAAAACTTATGACTTATGGTTATTTTGGTTTTCATTAGTATGATAAGTATTAGAACATATATATGGTTGAATATTTTGGGATAATGTAATTACACTATATGCTTGTAGTCTATTATGTAATTGCAGCCTTGGTTATTATGGTTTTTAGTTATTGTTGTGTATTATGTAATTACAGTCAATTATTCACATTAATCTTTATTTTACCTTACAATAAACTACAAAGAACCTTATAAACAACATAAGCAATTCCATAAAATTCATATTTATATCAGGAAGTTAGTTACCACATAAACAACTTACTTTGACCTCACAAACAACTACAAATAACCTAGGTCAAAGTACCAAAAACCATTAATCCACCCAAAAACCACACTTTTATCGATCTTCAACAAAAAAACCCCACCCCATAACCTAAACAGACCTTATGAACAAAATCACAAAAAAACCCAACTAGCCAACAACACAATCTTTAGAGCTGTGCACCAAGCTTGCATTCGGTTCATATTTCTTAATAGTCCAAGAATAATTACTTTTGACCTTTCACACATGGGGGGATCAACCCATCTGATGAAGCCACAAGCAGAATCCTTCAAAAAGGGGAATATAACAAATGTTATTTGATTACAAATCAAAATGGGTGCAAACGAATTTCTTTACCTTTTGAGGGAAAGCATAGAAATTCTGTCTGGGTTCTTCGGTGTCCATGAGCTTTTAACAACAACAAACTTACCACAAAAACAGAGAACCATCGTGTGATTAACTGACAAGACGACCGTTAACAAAGAGAGATGAGAGAAGGAAGAACAACTTGAAAGTTGCAGAACAACGTTTGGGGAAGAACTTGAATGTTGGGGAAGTCTCTATATGTTAGTTCAGGAATTGTAAAAATGGTCCCTCAAGTAAAAAAGACATTTATGCCCTCGTGTGCAATGCATGTGAGGGGTTTAATAGCCACAAACAAACGGAAGTTAACCCCAGGGACTTGTTCCACAAACAAACCTCTCAACAAGGACTATAAATCAAATTTTTAAAAGGTTTGGACCATATCCACAAAAAATGACAAACCACAGGGACCATTTTTGCCTTTTTTTGTAACAACGTGAATTTTCAAAACAATTTTTCATTTTTCAAACAACATAAACCATCATTCAATATTCTCAAATCTATTGTTTAGCAAATGTTATCATAATAAAAATACATCCCATGATCATAAAATAAATCTTCTGTCAGTGTGTACAGATCATGCCTGCGCCTTCCCATGGTCCTCGCTCGTACGTGAAACACATAACACAACAACTGTAAGCATAATGCTTAGTGAGTTCCCCAAAATACCACTTACACACATATGCCCTTCCAGGCCAAGACCTTCCGGTCCATGTGTCTCAGGGGACTTCCGTCCCATCACGGTAAACCTTCCGGTCCTACCCGTGTCGACCTTCCGGTCCATAACTCACTGACCTTCCGGTCCACATCATAATGCCTTCCGGCCCATAACATAATGCCTTCCGACCCATAACAAGCATAACATACATAGCACATACAAAACGGGTAACTAATCACATATAATGCATATATCATATAGCATATCAGACCTTCCGGTCACACATAGGCACCGTTCCGGGTACAGTATAGTGAGAAGACTCACCTCGTAGGATGTCTAGAATCTCACGTGCTCGATATCTCTGAATCTTGAAACGACGACCCAACCCCGCCTATTCACAACGAATAATCATTCTAATTAATATAGGCTTCCACGACTAAGCCACACCCTTTTTCACTATCCCACAAAAGGGTAAAAGACCATTTCACCCCTCCTTGACTCAAAAGTCCACATGTTGACCGAAACCCTAAAAGTCAACAAAAGTCTACAGCAAGCAATATGCGGGGCATACCAGCTCCTGTACGCAGGGCGTACTCTTGCATTCCAGAAACGGGGAATGCGTCCCACTACGCGGCGCGTACTAGGATTACGCCCAGCGTACATCCCAGTGTCTCACTTCTTTCTTCTAATGTATTAAATGATTAAGACATAACCCCATATCCCAGATCTGGCCAAAATAGTACCTCTTAGTCCATAAAGTCGAAACCTTTAAGCCTTGGCATGGCTAAAAGGTTCCTACTCCTTCTAACACCTTTCCTTTCTCCTCCAAGGGTCTACATCTCATGCATGGCTCAACATCCACGTCCAAGATTGCATTTTTATTAACATACAACTCATATAGTCTTGGAATATGATAGATCTAGGCTAATGGAGACTACTTGCTCATAAAGTCTCCATCTTGGGACCAAAAACCCTAGAAATTGGTCCAAGAAGCACACCATATAAACTACAAGGCAAGATCTGAACTTTTTACCTCAGGAAGAAGCTCCAACCTTTGTAGTCCTCATATCTACAATTGTCCACCAACTTCTAGCCTCCACAATGGTCTCTTCTTCTCTTTTACTACCTTGAAATGACACTTTGAAGCTTAGAACACTCACACCCAAGCTAAAAACGAAGGAAATGCTCTCTTAGGGTTTCTTTCTGAAAGATGGTGACTGGGGGACAAGACCATCTCATTCCTTTTATAGCCCTCAAGTCATATTAGGGTTTTGAGTGTGGGCCGGTTACGCCCAACGTAACCTTAGGTACGCCCAACATACCCGGATGGTACCGCGTACAAAATAA